TGGTAAATGATTCACTGTGGTTACTATCATTCGTATAAAATTGCCTCTAATGATGATTAAAAAAACCCAAGAGAGTTTCTGTTCTCTATATTGTACAGTAGAATATATGGCAGAGATCCCAACCAAACGTCAGTGCAGCAGATGAAGATCCTGGTTTGGGTCTGAAAGCACTGTACTGAAACTACTTAGTCATGCTTTTTACCTGGACCTGGATTGACACCGTGCTGTGACACCGCAGGTACAGCCTTTCTGCTTCTGGAGCTGATGCTAATATGCTCTTTAAAAATACGGGGACAAAAAAAGCAGATTTTAGTGGAAATTGTAGATTAGGTTTTTTAAAAAATATTTTTAAAATATGCAGAAGTAGGTTTTATCAGGTTTGTAGAGAAATGTGACTAAGGACATGCAGATTTTTGATGTAAAATAAATGTCTTGTCTGTGACAAAAGGACGAAATGAAAGGACATTTGCTGAAGGAGTGAAAGAACCTGAATTGAGGTATGGCTGCCTTATATGCAGTTTTTAAAAAGCTGCAGGTTTTGAAGCTTCAGCATAACAGGGTCTTAGATAGCCTCTAGTTGTAAAGTGCTACCTCCAGCCATTTGTGGTAATATTTCGTGTCTGTAAATGTGCATGTGATGCATTTCGATGACTGAAATCCAGTTCCCACTGGTATTGGAAATAAACAAACTTCCCCTGTAGCTTTGCTGGCTGTGCTACTTTTTCACTGCTAAGCAGAGATGTCTTGTGATCCAAAAAAACCGCTCAGACAAAACCTTTCCTGCCATAACCTCTTAACTAGAAATCTGGCACCTCACTACAGAAAGTCCTGAAAAGCAAAATATGACTATTTAAAAACATGTAAATTATGAAGTGTATTTTCTGTGAAGATACCACATTAGTATTTTTTTTTCTAAAGTGTAAAGAAATTTAGTGCTATTATAGAACTTCAGCAAGGTTCTGATTTAGTTTTCATCTTAATTGAGGGGAGATTTTACACCACCTTAATTTGGTTCAAGCCCTGGATCTTGTGAATACCATTCACTTGCCCTGATGCGCAGACACTTGCAGTTTTATTTGAACACACAGTAACTTTGGTTCAGGATAAATTTTGATGGAGAAGGGGCTGTGGTTGCTGTGCTTTGTAGTTTGCAACTATAAAAATTGAATGAGTATAATTTTGTATCTTTCAGATTTTTCTCTAACTTCACTTTCTCCCACACTCTTTACCCATCAAATTCAAGTGAAGTACATTGGTGTTATGCCAAGAAATATTTGTACTTTTAAATTTTTTCTTGCTTTCTTTAGATCTTAACATATTTTCCCTTCATTCTTGCTGTTAGAATTATACATACTGTTTTTAGTTGACTGAAGTAAATAAAATTGAGGAAAATGATACCTTGGGCTTCCTGAATCTAGTGCTTGATTCAGAAGCAAGTAAAGGAACAATTCTCTGTCGAGCTGTCTCTTAGCTATCTGGCAGTGTCTTTTTTCAAGTAATAAAATGTGTTTATCACTTGAACAGCATGTTTATACTTGAGTTTTAAAATCTATTCTGTATCAAAAATTCTTTCATTTGAGTAATGTGGCTGCTGTCTAGCAAGCTGCCTGTCACTGGTGAATTCCCTGTTTGAATTTTACATGCTAATTAGGGGTAATGCTGAACAGAGGTATTATTGCTTGCTTATAATGTAGAGAAAACACCTGATCTGCACACAAATGTTTCTTTTATGAACCTGAACCAAGCCAGGCTGCAGAATGTGAAGTTAAAGATATAGCATTTGTACAGCTCTGTTGGTACATTCACAGTGCTGTTTGCCAGGGAAAATCATGACTTACACTTTAGAGACTGGGGAGATCGAGGGAGTGGAGCATCTCCCTTATGAGGAGCGGCTGAGGGAGCTGGGTCTCTTTAGCTTGGAGAAGAGGAGACTGAGGGGTGACCTCATTAATGTTTATAAATTTATAAAGGGCGAGTGTCAGGAAGAAGGAGCCAGGCTCTTCTCTCTGATGACAAATGATAGCACAAGGGGCAATGGGAGCAAGCTGGAGCATAGGAGGCTCAATCTGGACTTGAGGGAAAACTTTTACTGTAAGGGTTACGGAGCACTGGACCAGGCTGCCCAGAGAGGTTGTGGAGTCTCCTTCTCTGCAGACATTCAAAACCCGCCTGGACACGTTCCTTTGCAACCTCGTCTAGGTGATCCTCCTCTGGCAGGGGGATTGGACTGGATGAGCTTTCGAGGTCCCTTCCAACTCCTAATCTTCTGTGTGATTCTGTGATTCTGTGACCAGATTCTGATACATTACCCATGCTAAGAACCAGTTTCATTCAGGAGTAGTTCCTGGAATAAGGGTTTTCTTACTAGGAGTTAAAATAGTAGTTTTCAGATGGATAGTTGCATCTGTTGGTGATGTGGTGGCAGTGCACCAGTCTAGCTATGTTTCTGACCTCCTTGATCTTTGCAGATGTTATGGCATGCAGAATTCTTATGACATATCTAAGAAGAAACACTTCTTATTTTTTCAACTGTGGTCTAAAAGCAGAAATGGGATTAAGTCAAATCAGTGTTATTGATTCACAGTAATGCATTTTTCTCCTAAGAAGCCATCAGTGTTGAATGTAACACAACTGAAAAGTGTCCAAAGCAAAGCATTTCCTTATTGTTAATGTAGTAATGAGAAAATATTTACATGATTTTCACAAGTAAGTATAGTGATATTATATGTGGGTTAATTATTTAAAGGACAAAAATGATTATACCATGCATGCCGTGCTCCTGGCTGCCTACTGAGTATTATTTTAAAACACAAGTATACATGTCCCTGCTTACTGCAGGGGAGTTGAACTAGATGATCTTTAAATTTCCTTCAAACCCAATACATTCTATTATCCTGTATATTGAGTATAACTGCTTGGTGCTATACAAATGTGGAATAAAATTTCTGTCATGAAATAGAGAAACTTGAAATGAAAATAAGATATAATTATGGTATTTAGTCTTTATATTGGACAGAATTTTTTAATGAAACAAGAAGCAGTTTTGCCAAGAAAAAAAGACAGATCCTTAAAAGCATTAAAATAAGGGGGGTGGACGCCTGGATTCAGGACATAAACCAGATAAATGGTATGTTCAGTTGTTTGTTTTAAACTTTGCTTAGTAATCTGAAAAAGTGATTTTGATATAGTATTATACTTAATATATAGTAATTTCTTTAAAGTCTTACTTGTACTTTAGTAGGCTTTAAAACCTAAACTAAATCAGTCTGTCTCTCTTTAGACTAACTATTGCTTGCTTAGGACCACAAATTAAATCACAGATAACTTTTCTGTGTTTGAAAACATTTGTTTAAATCCGAGTCCTTCTGCAAGTCTCTGGTCTAAAGAAAGGCCTTAAAATGAAATCCTCAGTAGCAGATAGTCTTCATAATACCATGTTTCAATGAGATGTCTTCCAGTGCTGCAGTAGGGTATATGGTAAGTCCACTCTGAGCCGTACATGAGATGTGCTAATGGCAGAAGGAGGCGTTGTGTAAATAATTGATGCTGAATGATAAGTGCAGAAAATACAGGTATTTTATTTTTAGGTGAAATGGATATAAGGGTCATGAATCATGATTTAAGCCTGCTCAGAGTCTACCATTTAAAGCAGATTTGGAAGCTCTTAAATACCCAGTCAAGATTTTCTCTTGGTAGTTTGTTGTTAATTTTTGAGGATTTCCTCATTAGTCTGGTTTAGTTAATAGTAAATAAAGTTGTCCATTCAGTTTCCTATGGTGAGCGCAGAAATAAGGTCTGATTCTTGTTACATTAAAAGATACTACTCACATTAACTGTACTTCATAGACCTCCTAAGATCATTCCAGCACTTTAGTCTTCCTTTGCGTTATTCTTCATCCCTGGTACAAATCAGCAGATAATCTCTTGGTCATCAGCTCAGAGGTTTCTCTGAGTTTTCAATAATTTCTTGTGACTGACAGTGGCCCTGTATCCAGGGGAGTCCTTAAGTAAGATTTGTTGAATATGTTTCTTTGGCCTGCGCCCTGTACATACAAAAGCTTTCAAGAGAAAGTTGAGTCCAGCTTATCCCTTTTACCTACATCAGGAAAGCCACAGGTCCATTAGGAGAACAGTATCTATCATAATATAAAATGCAAAGTGGAACCAGAAAAGGCAATTGCTGCATATTCAAGGCAAAAATAGGAAAATAAAAAAAGGGAGGAGACAGTAATGGCATAACCAAATCACTTTCCACCAAATCACGCAGTGGAGATGTTTATCTTTCTAAGTGCATTTAGATGAGAATTCAGAATAGATAGTTGCGCATTTGAGTTCAACAACCAGGAAATAAATGAAAAAAGGTTTATATTAGAACTATATTTATTAAAACAATCTAAATTCTATACATATGCATAAACTTTTCCAGTTTCTCTTTTTAGTCTTTTTTTTGTTGTCTTATTGAAGAAGAACTACAGCTTGAATACTTGTAGTTCTTGCTACTTTTTCCCTGGTTGTCCCACATACATTGTATTATGGCCCCTGTTTACATTGTACAGGTAAGTAGCGAGGCAGGAGCAATTAAAGGAAAATAATTATCTTCCATGTGTGTCTCTGAGCCTGCTCCTGTAGCATTCTGCACACATTCCCAGAGCCTTGGGGATGGTGTGTTTAACGTTCACTGCTGGTTTTGACTGCCACAGTATGAAAAGCCACAGCTCTTCGAGCAGTCTCCTGAGACATCCACGATCACAGTGTTCTTAATAAATGGGGAACTGGGGAAATGGCAGTGCTGCTTACAAATAGATTGAGATATCACTTCTCAACTTTGTTTCAGAAATGTATTGCATATAGTAGATGCAGAATAGAAGTAATAAACAGTTCCTCTGCTTTGTGAAATGAAAATATATTTGTATGATGTTGGTCCATAATGTAACATGCCTATTTTTCAATTTAATAAGTGATGACATTATATTAATTGTAACTTTCTTACAATCCTTTAGGTGGCTATAATAGCAGGAAATTTTGAGCTTGCTGAATATATCAAGAATCACAAGGAAGCTGATATTGGTAAGCAAAATATTTACAGACACTGAAAATAAGTTATACATGTTTAAACCAAGATTTTGCAAAGATGTTAAATCTAATTCTATGTGAGATATGACTACAGGGCTGATGACAATATCATTTTGGGGAGATTTTAAAAGTAACATTTCTTTAAAAAATGAAGATGAGGAAAATGCTGAAATGTTTTCAAAATATGCTTTTAAAATGAAAATTAGATAAGGAATGCAGAAGAGTGGTAGAAGCTTAAATACTCTACATTAGCCAGTTTGTAACAAATTAAATACACTTCCACATACCTGACCAAAATGGCTCTTGCAGGCTGTTTTGGCATCAGCCTAAAGCAGTTTTCAGGAAGGAATATTGGTCAGAAGAAGAAGATAATGAAAGATGTTTCTCTGCAATTAAGTGAATATATGGGAGAAACTGTCTATCCATATCCATAAAGTCATTTCCTCTCTCTGTGTTTGATGTGTGGATGAAGGCTAGTGACAGGCATTAAGGGCCCTTAACAACAACAAAAAAAACTTAAGGCTTTTTGAAGATCTTTTTTACATAGAGAGTTTTGCCATTAAAATAAAAACCAGTTTGATAAAAGTGTTTTTTAATACAGCTTAATTGGAATTAATTAAAATGCTTTAATTCAAGTTAATTAGAGTTCCACAGGAACATCCTGAAGTTGAACGAGCAAAGGCTTGCCTTTTGAAGCAAGAGGGTCTGTGTAGTCGCCTGCGCTGACTTCACTCAGTGATGCAGATCTATGACTTGATAGCGTTGAATTTATGTGGAAAACTAGGCCAGCTCACTTGAAATTTAGGGCTCTAAAAGAATTGCTCTGGATTAAGACCTCCTTTCCATTTCCCTTCCTGTTTGCATATGATCTGGAGGGGATATAAGTAAAAATTCTGTGTGGTAATGTGAATTCTTGTAGCACTTCCAGCTCTTTGCAGTGTGCACTGAGAAAATTGAGGACACGCTGCATGAAAGTTTTGCATAAAAGTCATAATTTCTGCATAAAGGTTCATAGTGAGTTTGGAAGGTTTTTATGTGACAAAGTGGGATAGTTCCTTTTCATATAAGAAGTTTTCATCCTTCTAAATTTATAAACAATCTGCTGTAAAAAATTAACTAAAAGTGAACCAGTTATTCCTAATAGGGTGAGCATCTTGTTGTTGTTTACATTCACATATGGCTAATAGTTTTATAACTTCATGAAGATGTTGAAATGAAAGGAAATGATTTTTTAGAATGAAATGTTCCTTTTATTTCTACCATGTTAGTTCTCGATATTTTGGCTTTTGTGTAGTCAGTGCAGAACAAGTACTGCATATAGACAATACACAGTATTACATTTTATGTTTCTCTAAAGGGATTTTGTTCTCTTATAAATAGTTGTGTACAATAAAAGGAAAAAATAGCAAAGGAATGACTTGCTAGTATTAATTATGCATACACTTACAGTATGAGTAACTGTAAAGTAAACGTAACACAGTAAACTGACGAACAGTAGCCTCTAAACCGGTTTGCATGACACCACACTGATGTTAATAGCAACATTTTTTGGACTGACCAGTTCTACCCTACTCTTACTTTCCTCTGACCAGTGCAGGCTGCGAGTTATGTCAATGTGTGGGAGAAATTGGGATGTAGTTATGAAGTGGATGGATGAGACTTAGTCCAGGAAACAAGTGATAGCCACATGTCTCAGGCTTTAGGGAGAGTGTATTATTGCTGACTGTAAAAACTTTCTGTAGGATTTGGTGATTTCTAGAAAAATACTTAGAAGATATCATCTATAGCAAGATTCTTCATGTTTTCCTGATGCCTTCACTTTTCCTCTGAAAAATGGAAATATTGGTTCTTCTACAGTTCACTTGCATTTATTGCAAGATGTTGCTGGATTGCACATAACTATTAAATTAATATATTTGCCCTAAAGAATAAGCATTACAGTATGTTGTTTCCTCCTAGGTAATTTAATTTAGCTGGACATTTGTCCCTTAAGATTTATTACTTAAAAAAAAAAAAGTGAAGTCATCAGAAGTCTCTTTCTGGAATGTCTCCCATTTAAAAAAAACATAAATAAAAAATCAGTATCCTGAGCAGAAAACCTGAGAGCTAATATGGTGATGAACATGCAGAATAATGTCAGCATTTAAACTTCAACAAGTTGGCTTTTATTTATCTTACTTGTCTGGTTATCCGCTGTATTCATGTAGTTTTGGATGTATTCCAACATATATCATTTGAGTAACGTACCTTCTCAGAGCCCAGGGGCAGCAGAGTGGGAAGGAATAGCAAAGACCTTGAGAAATATCCTCATGAAGATAACAGTATCTTTAGCTATAGATCCTTTTTTAAATGCAAGCCTAATATGGTAATATATTAGTATAGTAAGCCCCAAGTAATATGAGTGACAATAATATTTTTATCAAAAAGTATCTACCTACTTTCCTGGGTAAGTCACCTTAAGGATGGGAAAATTTTAGTTGGTGGTAATGATTGGAGATGGGACCTAACGTAGTAGTTTCAAGAGCAGTTTTTTATTTGGTGACAGAAACAAGTTTTTAGATTTCTCAAACTGAAGCATCTGAAATATGAAAAATAATATTTACTTGAAATCGCTAATCTTCCATAGTGAGGAACTACACTATCTGTGTCCATCTGTTTTGACATGTGCTAATTAACATTATTCTTAGATAACTTTGTTGTCCCAAGCTCTTGCAGTAGGAAGTAGCTTGTACTTTCAATGCAGAAGGTATTATGTGGGTGTCTTCCAGTTTGTCAGTAGTCACAAAGCTGTTTCAAGTGATGTTGCCAAAACTGCAATTACAAGGATCTAACAGCAGTAATGTAATGCTTATGATTCATGGTCCTGTGCCATGTGTTATAGTGAATGAACTGCTTTCTTCAGTGGCAGAGATCATAGCTCAACCTTTCTGCAGAAGGAGGGTATCACTGCCTCTGGAGTAAAGGGATGAGTCTGCAGCATACTGACAGACAAAGCACTACATCTCAACGCACTACTCCACAAGAGCTCCACATAAATAAATATATATGCTTAAGTGCTGAGTATGTCACTTATTATCTATTCCATCTTTGCCTGCCAATTATATTTCATTCGCATTTAGAGTAGAATACCATTTTAAGCCGTATGCAAAGTCTTGGATTGTTCAGTTTAGAAGAGGCATGTCTTTTTTTTTCGTACTTTTTTTTTTGCTTCCCCTTAGCCTGGATCTGTGGCAGATTGTAATACTAAGACTATTCCTGTTGTTGAAGAGGATGGAGAAGCAGCTCAGGTGGAAAATGACCAGGGTATCTTCTAGCAGTAGAAAATTCTAATTTAAAGCAGAATTACTAAATCTTTGTTCTGCAGATCAAGTCAGCTGAAAAAAGGAGGAGATTTTGTCAGTAGTTTCTCAGCTACATAAAATTGTGCTATAGAGGCCATTCAGTTGACTAAGCCGAGTGTGTTTCAAGACAGATAGGATCATTTGGAGTTTGAAAACCATCAGGAGGGGTCAGAGCTGTTAGATGTACCCTGAGACAGCTCTGAGCGGCAGCACTTTAGTTGAAGAGCAGGTACCACAATGGTGCCACCTACCTACCTACCTCCTCGTTGTTTCTTCAGCCTGGAGAAGCCTAACTTTTTTCACATCCACAATCTAGATGGGTGCAGCTCTCTGTCTCTTGGATAATTTCACAGTGGAAGCTCGTGATGAAATGAGGGTCGATTCGTGGAAGGGGGTGACCTGAAATCTAAACCTGCTGACTGTTCTCATGGCTCTGATCTACAGTACATAAATATGCAGGCAAGGTTGCACTTCAAGCACTTACATTCCCTTTAGGCTGTAAGCACTTGTGTCTCCCAGCAAACTGGAGTTTTGTAGAAGCTGCTTCCGCTTAGCCACAATAGCAGCATAAAAATTTGTTAGGTATTCCGTCCTATTAAAAATTTGACCTTTTCCTCTGAAAGTTCAAAACCATGTGGGTTCTCTCACACGTGCTCTCCCTTCTTCTATCAGCAAGTTGCTTCTTCCTTACCTTGCTCCTTTTCCCACCATCAGTTTCCAATTAATCTTCCCATCTCATTAGGTTTCTGGGTGACCAGTTTGTTGAAATGCTATGAAAGGTATTTAGCACACGTAACTATTTTTTTTTACATGGTGCTACCATTTTCAGAAACAAACTGAGAGAGAAAAAAAAAGCCTTGCAGATGATTCTTGTGGCTTACTGCAATAAAAGACACCTTGCTGTCATTAACAGAGGTAGTTCATGTTAGTCTTCTTTCAGACAGGGATGATGCAGTTTTGCAAGAATAAATAGTACGTAAAAGTAAAGGAATCAGAGGAGGAAAAAGGGGTATCATAAAGGATTAAAAACAAGATCCAGATTTCATTGTATTTATTTCTTTTATGAGGTTCTAAACATCAGGGAATCCCTTTTGTTTCCTTGACAGATGTTTGAACGGTGAATGAAAATTGCCGTATCATTTAAAAAGTAATCCTATTTGAAACAAATAAAATAAATATTTTTCATAATGCAAGAAAACCTATTACCGTAAGATACTTAGAAAATTGTTTTACAAGCATTATGAAATACTTGGTATATCTTCTCAGATTATTTTCATTCATCATGCCCCCAAATTAGTATTTTTGAGGAATAATAACAACATTAAAGCAGCTTATTTTAATTATCACTTATTTTGAAAGTCTTTGGAACACAGAAGTGTCTTGCAGCTCAGTGATTATTGTTCCATCTTCTTTTCTGCTTTGAGGAAGACATTACATATACTCCTGATGTACAGCACAGCAGTTACGCATCATTTAAAAAAATAAAATATTCTTTTTTAAACTTCTTTTTTTTAACCAGCTATAGTGCATTTATAATTTATTTCACTTTATGCATTTATTTATTGCAAACTAAGAGAAAGTAATGGATTAAAAGATGCAATGAATAGAAAAGTTAATCCCTGATTGTTTTCATCCAGCCTGCAGCTGTCTGTG